GCCCCCCCCCCCCCCCCCCCCCCCCTCCCTTCTCTCTCTCTCTCTCTCTCTCTCTCTCTCTCTCTCTTTGACACACACACACACGCACCAGGCAGGGGGAGGAGGGGGGCTACTGGACTCCTTTAATGGCCTATACGGGGAGGTTCCGTCCGTTTTGTTTCTCCTCCTGCAGGCTTCAGGTATATGAAAGGGCTGGATTTCACGAACTGAGGTATACTTATGCGAAAGATTAGGAACGTCTCTTGGTAATTTATTTAAAAAAATAAAAATAAATAAATAAAGCTGTGTAATTTATCAAACGCTACATCAGAATGACAACAAAAACTTCCTGTTGTTGTTTGCAATGGACTGTCACACGAGGTCAGTCGAATGCAATTTTATAGTAGTAAAAATAGTCAGAACCTCTTTGATCACATTCTGTCACTCAAAAAAAAATTCCATCTTCGTGTATATTGAAAAAAGCAAAATCACTAAATTGGGCAACTGAAATCCTTTATTTTACGAACAACGTACGCAAAAAACCTTGCCATCGCCATTATGAAGCTGCCACTTCAGGGGTTAAAAACCCTTGAAGGTTCATAAAAAGCCACTCCAAAAATTTGTATACACCTAAGCAATTTGTAAAACCATTTTTGAAGCCGGTTATTATGAGTTGGTTTTGATTGGCAAGCTAAAACCTTCAACCCGTATTACCCGATAGGCTATTTTGATAAAGGTGAAAAAACACATAAACTTATAAGACCAAGTATCAAACATCACCTAAATATTTTCTGTGTATCGCATAGAAATAGGCCGAATATTACATTTGCTTATAAATTGCTTCGATCGATATAAAAAGCAATAAATAAATAAAGCAATATAAAGCAATAAATCGGAACTTAACTTTTAGACTGCTAGCTAGACGGCGCCATTTTTCTTACTCTGATAGCTGATCTGGAGCGGAAAGGTGAACTAGTTTCAATCCTCCTCCGCATCACAGCTGGACCAGAGAGCGGGTATGAGCTTTTCAATGCCCTATGACTTTAGACTTTGATTCAAAAGAATCAATGTATCGCGAGATATGAACGCTTACCATTTGGATACTTTCTAAATGTCCTTAGACCTTGCGCCGCGTAATATATCCGTATATCGATTTAATTGATGGTGAATGGTCAGTCGCTTGAGTTTGCAGGCTGGGTATTTTTGAAACTTTTTTCCTGGAAGTATTTCGGAAATTCAACAGTTTCCGAAATTTCTGAACTCTTTTCAGGGAATATTCTGTACAATTTGCGCAGTTTCCAAATTTTCGAAAGTTTTGGTTTAATGGAAAGAGAACATTGAAAATGGATAGCGGGAAAATGATACGTCTACTTCCATAGACGCTAATTATTGTTTAAAGACAATCCCACGCGGTCGGGAGGTAAAACCAGGGGATAGAATCGCTGTCTATAAATTGATGTAAACGGGGGGTTATTAATCTTTCTTATTTCATGAATCACACATTTTCTTTTGTTATTCAACATCCTTTATTTAACTTACATACTTCATGAATATTTAACTAACTGAAAGTCCGGGGAGGGCTTGATAATGTAGCAGGGAAGAGCGGGGCTGATGAATTGAATAAATTGCTAATTATAAAGGCAAGGACAATATCTATATAAATACCTGGGATTTATTTGCATATTGCCCTGCTGCCCTGGGCAATATACAAATAAATCCCTTCCATTTATAATGAGCAATTAAAGTAAATCATACACGTCCTTTGACCCCGCCAAACATTCTGAGAAAATTTCTCCCTTTAACACAAATACAGTCTAACCTCTCCTTACGGACACCTCTATAATATGGACACCTCTCTATTACGGACAGTTTGTTTGGTCCCAAAAATGCCAAAAATCATACATTCTCTACCTCTATAATACGGACACCTCTGTAAAGCGGACAATTGGTTCTGTCCCTTTGGTGTCCGTATTACAGAGGTTTGACCGTATAGAAATTTATTCTACAACTATATAAAATACAGTAGTATCCCATATATCATACAGGCTATGTGTTCACTCTAAGAAAATTTTAAGTCTGATATCTCTGTGGCCCGTACGCTCAATAATCAACTTATCTGAGATTCCTTTTTCCAGTCCACGTGTTGCTGTTGTGGCCCTCAGACTGTGATTGCTGAATTGGCCCTGTAGGTCTGCGTCTTTACACATTTTGCTAACAACGTTTCCAAGCTTGTTATGTCCAACAGGAGTCGATGTAAACCAAACTGCAAAAATTAACAGTGAAAATAAAAATATGAAACAAAACTGAAACTTCTAATTACCGTCGCCGGCTTGTGACCATTAAAACTGACTGACATTTTTATCCTCTTGCACCCGAATTGTAAATGATCTATATTTATAAGTATCATACCTTTATCCGTAGACTTGTATTTCTCGTTCGCTTACTTCTCTAAAGTCTCCCACTAACTCTTCCAAATTCAACTCAGGGGAAAAAGGCTCCTGAGAGAAAGTATTTTGCGTTAGGAAAATTTCGTCGTCACTATACATTGCCGCTCTCACAAGTGTACTTGTCCCCCAAAAAACACCAAGACAAAAATAAAAAAAACACAAAAGGTTTGAAATTGATTGTAGTCGGCTTAGCAAACAAACAATGCGCTGTTGTTCTCCGTTTCTCACATAAGTGAGAACAAGTGGTTTGAACAAATTATGACCCGTGAAACGCCCTTTCTCGATGTTGTGTGAAAACCTTTACAATACTTTCAATGAAATACGTCATTGTCTGTGGTCGGATCAAAAAATGACAAACAAACAGACGTCAAAAACAAGTGGCCAATTATTGCCCTGTGAAAGACGACCTTTATGTAACCTATACCTCATGAATAATATCATGAAATAAATTAGATAAACCCCTCGAACGTCAGTATTAATCCATATACGGCCCTCGGGATGTATATGGCTTAATACCTCCGTTCTCGGGCTTTTTCTCTTACTAAATTGGTTCGGAATCATCGAGTCAGTAAATGTTGGAATGCAACAAAAATTTTCCACGAGAAGGAGAGCTGTTTTATTTTCATATTTTTTCAGTGTTTGTTTCTGTTTTTTATATTAAAATAATAATAATAATAATAATAATAGTAAAATATAGTGATGGGGAAAACTGTAATACCTAATATGCATCGGGCATTCTTCGCCTTTTGGTTGAATGGAAAGCCCTCCCTGAGATAAGTGGCCAATTTGGTCCTTTAACTGGTTATTTTAATTTTCTGCATATCTCCCCTTAGAGAAGAAAGTGCCCTTTTATTTGTATTCCTTCAGGACAAAAGAATATGTAGCGTGTCAT